CCCCCAGTCCCCTCCTGCAAGCGGGGGGGATCAGAGCAGTTCCTCACATGCTCAGCTTCACCGGGGCTGCCGTGGGAGCAGGTTTTCCCCAGCTCCGTGTCCCCCCACTCGGGGTGGATGCTGTCCCCACGCCCAGGAGGTGCAGGGATGCGCCCAGGGCTGGTGCTCTATGGAGCAGGCTCTGCAGACCCCCTTGCTCACCTCTGCCCTGTTATGGTGCTACCATTAGGCATGTGGCATCTTCAACCCCTGGCTAGCCTGGATGTCAGGATGGGTGACAGCCAAGGAGATGGCAATGGAGCATGCTGGGCGCAGCAGCCTGGCACCCAGCACCTCCTGCCAGACAGGCCTGGGGACACCCCATGTCCCCTGCTGCAGACAGTCCCAGTCCATTGGAGACAGCAAACTCAAGAAGGAGAATTTCTGCTCCGAGCCCCTGCGGGACGCTGGTGGTCTGGGTGGGGGACACCCATGCTGCTCACCCTGCCTCACCCCTGCCGAGATGCCCCCACCCCGACCGGCAGCGGGGGCCCCCCCCGCGGGCGCTGGGGTAGGAACGCTGCTTCCCACCGTGAGCGGCTGCTGCAGCAGAGCAGAGGTGCTGTGCTTCGTCCTGGTTTCCCTCTCCGAGCCCACAAAGCGGAAATTTCCCCATGGGAAGCCGCTGATTTTTGAGTGTGCCAGGATGTGCTGGAAACCATCCCGGTGGAAAATCCCCAACCAGCTCCACGGCACCTTGACCAGCCCGGTGAATCCCCTAACGTAGGGGTGAGCTTCAGGGCTACAGTGGTACCTGCCCTGCCAGAGCGGAAGGGAAAGCTGTGGGATGCTCCAAGCTGGGGATGCTGCCCCGAGCTGCGCTGCCCCTGCGTCACCCCGGGAGGGTGGGTGGTCCAGGCTGGTGCGATGCTGGCAGGGGTCTGGCAAGCTGTTGTGCCAGCTTAGCTCCTTTATTCATTAATGTGTAAAAAGCATCTGTCAAAGTGGTTTTACAACATGGTGCCAGGCGGTGCGGGCAGCCCCTGGGTCTGGGGGCTCAGCCCGCCATGGCGGTGCAC